TTGCAAGAGGAGGATGGTTCAAGTCTTTAGAGTTCTGGTTCTCCCTGTGTTGCTGTATGACTGTGAGACATGGACTCCTATGGTACTGTGTCTCTTCGAAGAATCCTTGGGTACCACTGGTTTGACAGACAACCTTTGCCTGCATGCTCCCCAACCTGACCTGACCTGACCTTCCTTGTAGGGTTCATCAGTGTCATCCATGGAGATTGAGGTGGTTGATCGCACCAGGGCTGCTTACCAGACCGGGAGGTCACGGCCCCTGCAGTTCCGGCTCCAGCAGCTGCGGGCTCTGCGCAGACTGCTCTCAGAACATGAGGCAACCATTTCTGCTGCACTCAAACAAGACCTCAATAAGGTGAGGGCTACTGGTTTCTGAAGGATTCATGAGCCAATCAAATTCTCCTGCCTGGAAGGATGGAGATTACTGCACGGCCAGTTACAGAGCGTGTGTATCTTTGCTCATTCTTTATTTGTCACAGAGCCACTTTAATGCGCAGCTCTTTGAGCTGATTGGTGTGGAGACGGAGATTGCTTTGGCTTTGGACAAGCTGTCAGAGTGGGCTGCCCCCAGGCCCGTTCAGAAGAACCTCCTGAGTATGTTGGTGGATGCTTACATCCAGCCCGAGCCCCTAGGGGTGGTGCTCATCATTGGGGCCTGGAACTACCCCTGGGCCCTCACCCTGAAGCCCCTTGTGGGTGCCATCGCAGCAGGTACACCACCTTCTCCATCTTGGCCGTTTCTTAAATCGACAGTTTTCATACTCACCCTGGTGGTCTTCTCCTCTCTGTTCAACAGGTAATGCGGCTGTGGTGAAGCCATCAGAGATCACCCAACACTCTGCCAACCTATTGAAGGAGCTCCTGCCTCAGTATCTAGACAAGGTCATTCATCTCCCATCTTAATCTTTGTAATTCTGATCATCATGATAATATCAAAACTGAATCTTTATCTATCTCTCAGGAGCTGTACCCTGTGGTGACGGGGGGGGCCTCAGAGACCCAGGAGCTGCTGCGGCAGCGTTTTGACCACATCTTCTACACGGGGAGCAGCGCAGTGGGAAAGCTGGTGATGGAGGCGGCCGCCCGGCATCTGAGCCCCGTCACACTGGAACTGGGGGGGAAGAGCCCCTGCTACGTGGACAAGGACTGCGACCTGGCCGTGGCGTCCCGGTAAGTCGCTCACTGACAGGGTCGGGGGCGGGGGGGCACGCCAGCATGTCCCAAGTCTGACTTCATGCCCTTCTGGGTATGTGTGGTCACACCCGTAGCCGGATCACCTGGGGCAAGTTCACCAACTGTGGGCAGACGTGCATCGCGCCTGACTATGTGCTGTGTGAGCCCGCCATCCAGGACCGGCTGCTGCAGGAGATGCAGCGCACTCTGCAGGTGCCGTACCAGACGGATTGCCTCAGTTACAAAGTCACATGGCAGCAAGTCAGCCATGAGCCAGTAATGATCACCATGACGTTATCAACTCTGCGCGTTTGTGTGTCAGCAGCGCGGCATGATTGGGCAAACAAGCTCAATTTTACGTGGCACTGCTTTATGTGTCACTCACGGTCATACACGATCATGCAGGAATTCTATGGTGATGACCCTCGGACTTCCCCGGATTATGGTCGCATTGTCAGTGAGCGCCACTTTGATCGCCTGATTACTTTGATGGACGACTGCAGTGTCGCACTGGGGGGACAAAGTGACAGATCGGAGCTCTATATCGGTATGGTTTCCATCGTCATCAACATTATTATGTTACATCTTCAATTTCAAAACACTTTTTGTGCATCAAAGACATCAAGCAGACTTCTTTTGCATGTGGTGTCCTGATTGCTGTGTCTGCAAAATCCTTGGCAACCATGAAATGAAGTCCCTGCAACATGCCTCTATATGTGCTGAATTTTCCTGACCTCCAGCAGCCTTGCAGGCTGTAATATTTGCAGCGACGGCATTATCCTGCTGGGCATCCTCTGCTTTGGAATCACAGCGCTTACAGTCTGTGTGCTGTCCAGCTCCCACAATCCTGAGGGACGTGGACCCCAGCTGCCGGCTGATGCAGGAGGAGGTGTTCGGGCCCCTGCTGGCCCTCGTCACCGTCAACGGGGTGGATGACGCCATCCGCTTCATGAACGACCGGGAGAAGCCTCTGGCCATCTATGTCTTCTCCTCCAGCAAGAAGGTCAGATTCCAGAAAAAAACAGAAATAGCACCAAGCAGATGAAGGACCAGATTTACTTCCCCATGTTCTCTTTGTCACCTCCCCCCCCCCCAGGTGATAAAGAAAGTGCTGGCTGAGACGTCCAGCGGAGGGGTTACTGTGAATGATGTCATGATGCACTACACTTTGAGCTCCCTACCTTTTGGGGGTGTCGGTAAGACTGGGGTCATGTCGCTCTGAGTGTGCAATTAGTGCAGCTTCAGTGGCCAAGCTAAGCTAACTGAGCCAGGCTAACTAGGCCGAGCTGACTGGAGTCCCCGTCTCCTGCAGGCCAGAGCGGCATGGGCCGGTACCATGGCAGGCACACTTACGACCAGCTGAGTCACCTGCGTGCCTGTTATGTAACATCACCCGCACTGGAGAGCTTCAACAAGGCCCGATACCCACCACTGTCCCACGGCCGTTTGCGCAAGGCCAGGTGCTGCTTACAGACATGGCTGTGCAGCTGTGCCAGGGCCTCCATCCTGTGGGTGGCGCTATCATCCATTCTGGCTCTGGGGCTATTAGTCGCCTTGCTGGTCATCCTGTTTAAGGTAAGAAGGTGGTTACATGAAGCTTTTGGGCTGGTGCACCATTAGCCCCGGAGCTATGACCTGCAACTCATAGGACTGTGTTTCTGTGCTGCTGCCATCCTGTCTGATAATGACCTCAGAGCGAGTCGACTGTGTTATGCAGAGCACAGATAGCAGGGGGCAGCGGTCACATGCCAGCCATTACATCACATGTTGGTTATGTGCAATGACCTTCTCAATGTGCTGCTTAGCTTGTTAACTATGGCTTTTGTAGATTAAAAAAATCTGAAACCATTTCAGTTAATAAGTCAACATAGTCATACATTTGGGGGTCAAACTACAAGCCCCAGGCTGTGAGACTTTGACACTGAGCTGACCTTCCCCGAGTGTTCAATGCCAGGCACGATTCGCTGTCATTTTTCCATGTTCATGCTGAGCTGAAAAAGCACATGAGAGCACAGGGTTCTTTTTTCACTTTGGAATGTTTCTCTCTCTCCCCCCCCCCTGCCCCACACAGGACACATCTAAATGAAGAACAGCTGCTGAACCCAGTCATTGAATTTGTTTAGAAAAAATCTTTCCACCATGAGTGTTGTTTTGCAGTCCAATAAATAGTAAAGATGGTAACTCTGCCCTTCGTGGACAACTTACTCCACAAAGAACAAGTTGAGAGAGGCGTAAAAAAGAATTTCCCCATTGGGACAATAAAGTTTTCAACAGTGGGCAAACTGCTGTTTGCCCAGTGTCTTTCCGCACACAGGGGGCGCTGTAGCATGTACAGAGGGAGGAAGGAGGCTAGACAGGATGACTGCATGCTCCCCCAATGAGAATCAGTAGGGAAGTGACCAGCAGGAGGCGGTTAAACCAGACGGTCACTGTAGTCCCCTCAGCATGGGCTCCAACCCACCCCCCC